GACTTAGAGAAGGAACTTATGGTTGCCAGGGGGAAAAGATGGAAGGAAGGGATAGTTAGGGTGTTTGGGATCAACATGTTCACACAGCTATATTTAAAATGAAAAACTAATATACAGCACAGTGAACTCTGCTCAATGTTATGTGGCAGCCTGGATGGGTGGTTACATGTATATGGACAGCTGAGTCTCTTAGCTGTCCACCTGAACTACCAAACATTACTAACCAGCCATACTCCAATATAGAATAAAAAGTTTTTCTAAAAAAATTGCTGAAAAAGATAAAAGAAATCAAGGTAAGATTTTAAAAGCTGCCCTGGGTAAAAAGGGTAATAGTCTGTGTAATTCCAATTTTGTTAATTCTTTTAGTAAATGCCAGATTACGTACATGTGCATGTGTGCATGCTAAGTCACTTCAGTTGTGTCCAACTCTTTGCGACCCCATGTACTGTAGCCCACCAGGTTCCTCTGTTCACGGGATTCTCCAGGCAAGAATACTAGAGTGGGTTGCCATTCCCTTCTCCAGGAGATTATGGACATATGATTATTCAGTTTGCCAACTGATTTTCTCAGTGTGCATCTACAATGTTTGGTTTTCCTGTAATTTCTTCCTTTATAAAATAGAGATGATATTGTTCCTTCCTTATTCTCTCTTTTTACTTGGGGGAGTAGGAAAAGCACTGAATCAGGATTCAGGAAAATCATTCTAGTACTGGAATGTCATTTACTAACTACTTGACATCAGACTAACCTCAGTATCCTCATTTTTAAAACATAGAGTAGTGCTATTCCCCCTTTCCATTAATACTTCCTATAGCTTTATAACCATGAAATAATACACATGTGATCTCAAATTGCAATATCCTATATAAAAGTAAGGTGGTATTAGCAGAACTTTACAGTCACAGTGAAATACACTATTAGGGCCAACAAATAACTTGTCCCAGCTCCATCATTTATCTTAAATGAATTAGTTTTTAATGACTCCAAGTATTCATGTTTCCCTAACCCCATCAGCATATATCTGTCAACAGTCACTGGCATTATGTTTCAGAAGCCTAATTCTTATTCCATGAAAGCCTGACAGACCCAAAGGATAAAAACCTGGGCTTTGTAAATGACAATACTCAAATATATAATAGTGCACATATCAAAGATTTCTAAAATGTATTTCAGAACAGCAAACTGCTTTCTCAAGTAGCAGAATTAACACAGATCTTGTTGGATTTCCACTTCTTTAATTATTAATTGGCCACACTCTTAGATCCTCGTTTAGCAGTGACTTTCCTATTGACATCAACTTCATGACATTCTGGGCTTCCCAGGTGGCACCAGTGGTAAAGAACCTGCCTGCCATTGCAGGAGATGCAAGAAACATGGGTTCAATCCCTGGGTCAGGAAGATCCCCTGGAGGAGGAAATGGCAATGCACTCCAGTATTCTTGCCAGGAGAATCTCATGGACAGAGGAGCCTGGTGGGCTACAGTCTATGGGGTCATAAAAAAAACCTGGACACATCTGAGCACTAACTTCATGACATTCTGCATCTTTTTGCAAATTTTGCTATTAGGTTTTTCATTATATTTTCATCATGTTATTAATTGTTAAGTACCAGAACTTCTGCTAAATGGCGAGAGGGTTCTCAGTGTAAAACTGGTTTTCATTAGTGGATGTTTTCCTGTTTTTATGGCTTTTGCATCCTTGTGCACTCAGTGTGGAGACTAATAATAATGAATAATCAGATAAGGAGAACACCTTATTCCTATTTTGTTCTGAGAACAAAAATGAAATCATTTATTGAAATTCCTCAATAAATGCTGCTTCCTGGTATTTTTAAAGACAGAAGGCAGTAAGCAGAAGCCATTAGGCAGAGAAAAGAAGAGACAAAAGAAGTAACTAGCGATGGAATAGGAAGCAGAGAGAAGGTGCTGAGTCACAGGCATGACCGACAGGTGGAATCGCCCTCGGCTCCCAGAGCTGCCCCTAATTCTGAGCACTTGCTCAGAGTTTCCTGGCTCTCAATTCAGACTGTGTGTCCATCCTGACAATAGACTGCTATCACCCAGGGCAATGAGGATGCCTCAACCGTGAAATAATCAAACATGCCAATGGGATCTCTTTGTTAAATTTTGGTCAACAAGGCTTGCTTCTGGGGAGGTACTGACAAAAGAAGCATTCCTCCCACTGAATGAAAGAGCCCTTTTCTTTTCTGATTTAACTCAGACTCTTAACTGTTCTCTTCTTTCAGTTTCAACAGACTACAAAGGACACTTTCTTCACATTTCAAGGGAAAAATAACAGAGTTTCTCGGTAATATAGTGTGTACAGCACGCCCCAATTTACAAAGTATTTTATTTCACTTCCACAAGAGGAGAGTATAAAAACAACAAACTCTAGGAGTGGAATCTAGGGATTTTCATTTTTAATGAGATTTAATGATTAGTCAATCCTTTTATTTCTCTTGCTAAATGAAAATCAAATTCCAGTTTTACCCTCCTAGGAATATTTGCACATCATCTGAACTAATGCTATGGGTGTTTAAACACTCTTGAATCACACATGTATAAACAATCTCTTGGTTTATTACATAAACTACTAATATCATTCATGGGTTTTCTATTAATAAAATCATTATTTCATTCAACAATTACATTGAGCATGTAATTACCATGTGCCCAGCAATGTATTCAAGGCTGGATGTCACTAGCTCAACCATCACGATCAGCCTTTTACAGACCATAATTACACAGCCAGGGTTTCCATGAGGAAACCTAACTGATGACAACCCAAACTGAGCTTCCCACAGAAACATCAGTTCTACAGTGAAATGGTTACAGACTTAGAATTCAAATCCTGGTTCTGCCAAACTTGCTTGCTTCACCTCTCCAAGGATCTATAAGGTCAAGAAGATAACAGCACCTACCTCACAGAGGTGTAACGATAAGAGATGATGAAAATGTATGTAAAGTGTGTGGTCAGTGGTTGGCACATATAATAGGTGTTCAATAAACAAAACCTACTGTCATTTTTATTAAAGGGCCAGACTTTTTCCCAAGGAAAAGTGTTAAAAACTCCATTATCATTATCATTAATGTTCTCATTTTTCAAATGGAGAAGACTTAAGCTCAGAGAAGCTAAATCCTTCATTCATGTAACAAGTGTGGCCAGCCCTAACTGTGTGCTAGACTGGGGCTGGTCTCCACAGAACAGGGACGCAGAGGACAGAGCCTCTGGCTTCAAACACCGTCTTACAGAGAAAAGAGGGAGAAGTTGACGGCCCCAGAAGAGGGAAGCACGGGGCTGTGGGAGCACACAAGGGAGCTCACTCAGGATGCAGGCGGTGGGGGAGGCTCCCCAGATGGGGTGTCCCCGCTGAGTCATGAGGGAAGTAACGTGGCAAGAGCAGTTAACCACTAGCAGCCTGGCTTTAATGAAACCAAACCCTTGTCTCCAAGAGCCGTGAACTTCTTCCCACAACACCACAGCTCCTTTGATTAGATTCAGTTAACAAGGAATTTATCAGCACTTGCTTGATGGAGAAGTCTGTACTGGATAGCAACAAAGGTGATTAACTATAGTTATCTCATGAACAGAACGGGATATAAAACAGACACATAGATGCCCAACTCAACCGACATCTAATATACGTCTGATGTTCAAAACCAGGTGCTGGACGTCCTGCTGAAGTTCAAGCCTAGTTCTCAGGCTCTCAGGGTGGATGCTAGTGCTTCCTCACGTGCCCTGTGGGAACAGGGCAACACTGCCCACACTGTGAATTCCACCAAGCAGCAGAGCTGGGCGATATCATCCACCACCTCGTGTGTAAAGTCCCTGGCGGCTCGGACGGTGAAAGCGTCTGCCTGCAATGTGGGAGGCAGGGTTCAGTCCCTGGGTTGGGAAGATCCCCTGGAGAAGGAAGTGGCAACCCACTCCAGTACTCCTGCCTGGAAAATCTCAAGGACGAAGGAGCCTGCTAAACTATAGCTCATGGGGTCAGAGTCGGACACGACTGAGTGGCTTCACTTTCACTTTCTTTCATGTGTAAATTGTAATATGAATTCTTTAATAAATATCTGATTGTGCATGTTAAGTCACTTCAGTCATGCCCAACTCTTTGCAACCCTATGGACAGTAGACCACCAGGCTCCTCTGTCCATGGGATTTTCCAGGCAAGAGTACTTGGGTGGTTTGCCATGCCCTCCTCCAGGGGATCTTCCTGACCCAGGGATGGAACCCACATCTTTTATGTCTCCTGCATTGGCAGGCAGGTTCTTTAGCACTAGCTCCACCTGGGAAGCCCCAAATACCTGCTTAGCACACATTAAAAGGAGTATCTTTTATCATTTGTAAGTGCTATGAATTCTGTATTCCACTATGCACAGTGTTTTCACTTACTTGAAACTGTTTGTAATGGAAACTATTTAAAATATTTCATTTAAAGTATCTATATCTTTACAATTGAGTATTTCTTTAGTTTTGAGTGCTTTCTTCAGCAGATTTGGGGATCAGAATTATGCTTGCCTCAAAAAAATTCTTGGGGGCACTTCCTGCCACCCTGTGCTTTGGAGCAATATAGGAACTGCCAGACCCTTGGTGGTTTTATTCAGTTCACCTGAAAATCCACTGAAGCCTGGTCACGACTCACTAACAGCAGTGCTCCCACTGCAGCGCAGACTCAGCTTCAGACGCCCTCTCAACGCTGCTCTCCACACAGCCGTAAGGGACAACACAGATGGGCCAGTTATTTTCAGTCTTTCTTTATTACATCTGGAATGTAAAAAATAGAACAAATGAATGACCATGACAAGACAGAAACAGACTCGCAGATACAGAGAACAAACTGGTTACCAGGGAGGAGAGGGAATGGGAAGGGGGCAGGACTTGTGAAGGGGATTAAGAGGGACGGACTACTGGGTAGAAAGGAAGGTACAAAGATGTAACTTACGGGAAGGCACACCGCGTAGGAGAAGGTAGTGAGTTGAGAACGCGGTCACCATCATCATCATGAGTCTCCTCAACAAGCCCAAGAGTGAGATGACCCCAGAGGAGCTGCAGAAGCGGGAGGAGGAGGAGTTTAACACGGGGCCACTCTCCGTGCTCACGCAGTCAGTCAAAAACAACACTCAAGTGCTCATCAACTGCCGTAACAACAAGAAGCTCCTGGGCCGCGTGAAGGCCTTCGACAGGCACTGCAACATGGTGCTGGAGAACGTGAAAGAAATGTGGACGGAGGTCCCCAAGAGCGGCAAAGGCAAGAAGAAGTCCAAGCCAGTCAACAAGGACCGCTACATCTCCAAGATGTTCCTGCGTGGGGACTCTGTCATTGTGGTCCTGAGGAACCCACTCATCGCTGGCAAGCAGGGGCCTCCTCCCTGCTGTCAGAACTTGCCCCCTGGTTTTGCAAAGACCTGCCCTCTGTAGTTGAAATAATAAAACCGTGTGTTTTTTCTAGTGAAAAAAAAAAAGATGTAGCTTACAGCACAGGGAATACAGCAAACATGTTATAATAACTTCATATGAGTATAATCTATAAAAATATGGAATCACTAGGTTGTACACCTGAAATTAATGTTGCAAATTGACTATACTTCAATTTAAAAAAGAGGAAATTAAGACAAGTTCTTTTCTGTGTATGACTCTGACCACATCCCACATATTTTTATACATGATTACTCCATTTAATGATTTCTAAAGAGCCTCTGAATTTTACCTTTATTTTATCCTTGGCCTACAAGTTCTTCATTTAGTACACTCTCCATATAAGGTAAAACTCAGGAAACATATTATTAACATGTGGGCTTCTGGTACAGCGTCTAAAGCAATGTAATTTTGCCCTCACACATGACCCTTATAGCACACCTCTATTGCTTGAAAAAGGAAACCTTCTCAGGTTATACTGAGGACGCCATCCACTTACTTCTCAAGAGATACCAACCTTACTGCCATTCAAGTCTAACAGGTTTTTTCTTCCTATCTTCCTTCCTTTGGTCCTTTGTGTCTCACATATTCCCAAGTTTCATATTTCTCATATGTCAAAGTCATATTTTCCTCTTTTCCAGCAGTACTACAAAGCTTCCTGTTTTCTTTTCTTCTCTTTTTAACTTTTTTCCCATTTCAGTGGATTTTGGGGAAGAGGAGAAGGTAACTGAACGGGCTCAAGATAAAAGCAAAAATCCAGAATTTTTTTAAACTCTTTCAAGTGCTACCCAATGGATCATACTCTTCGTAAGGCTTTCCTACTTGTTCTCCTCTGCTTGAACCTAAGAAAATTATCTAAACTGATAATTGTACATATTAATATTATATATTATAATGTTATCATAAAGTTGAACATTATAATCAAAATAATGCAATAGTGCTTATATGTGAACAGAAATTAAGAGCTTAAAAGCAGTACAAGGACAAAGGAAATTATTTTCTATCATTATGAAAGTTTTAAAACCCTTAGGAACTGTTTTGTCCTCTAAAGTCTACAGTACACTAGGCCTTAGTCCATATGCCTGAGAGAAGCAAAAAGCTGCGACCTATTACATAAGGATCCAAAACAAAAATTCCTAAAATCAAGAAACAAGTATACCTTTATATTAATTATTAAACTGTCTAATTAAGATAAATATATATACACACATAGTAACATATATATGACTTTGTTCAAATATATATTGTAATAGTGAAATGAGAACAAATGATAATACCATATGACCTTTTTAATCCTGTGATTCTTTTAAAACATTTTTATTAGAGGAAATGTCAGATTTTTCACATGTTCATAATGTTTTAAATGGATAGACTGTATATCACTACCTAGTCAATTTTACTTCTAATTTGTATCTCTGTTAGTTTTATAAATAAAGTTTATTTATCTATTTAAAATAAGTAAAAGTCAGATTTTTAAGAAAAGTAACAGATTATTCAATAAATTGCAAATAGAAAAAATACTAACAGAAAGAACAGTAAGCTTACTTACAAACACTGCAAAGCTCAGTGCTAACATGGAAAGTTTGTAAGGTTACAAGAGGAATTTAATTACAGATATGGAGAACATATGAACCTCTGGCACAAGTCACACAGGTACCAGATGCCAAATGCCCTGGAAAAGTAACCATGCGTTCACCCATTCATTCATACTTCCACCCATCCATACCCTTAGCAAATATTTATTGAGGATTCTCTATGTTCCAGGATACAATAGTTTTTAAAGGAGGAGGAGGAGGGAGAAGAGGAAGAAAGAGGCAGGGGAAGGAGGAGAAATTGTCTAGTGAGGAATAGGGACAAGAAACCAGGCAATTATAATATGTTGTGGTATGAACGGATAACCAACAAGGACCTTCTCTATAGCACAGGGAACTCTGCTCAATGTTGTGTGGCAGCCTGGATGGGAGGGGAGTTTGGGGGAGAATGGATGCATGTGTATGAATGGCTGAATCCCTTTGCTGTTTACCTGAAACTGTCACAACACTGTCAATTGGCTACCCCCAATACAAAATTAAACGTATAAAAAAATAAAATTATAATGAATTACAGCTTCCGTGAGACTCAGATGGTAAAGAATCTGCCTGCAATGAAGGAGACCTGGGTTCAACCCCTGAGTAGGAAAGATACCCTTGAGAAGGGAATGGCAACCCACTCAAGTATTCTTGCCTGGAAAATTCCATGGACAGCAGAACCTTGCAGGCTACAGTCCATGAGATCACGAAGAGTCGCACACAACTGAATGACTAACACACATGAATGACTATAATAGTGTATGTCATAAAAATGTTAAATGGTTTATTCATTAGTATATATAGTCTAGGCTACCATGAGGCAGTCATATTGCTGTTTCTTTTCTATCAGTGCATGAATTATTATACCTGTAAATAAAATGTCTTTAGAAAAAAAAAACAATTCATTGTGTTAAGCACATTAACAGGTGGCTGTGAGCACATCTAGGAGAAGCACCTCATCCAGATTTGTCAGCAGAGGGAGGAAAAGTGTGCAGGTGGTGTGCAGGAGAGAAAGTTCATTCCAGTGATGCCTGGAAAAGTGTGAATGACAGAGAAGACAGTCAGATAAAGAGTGGAGAGAATGGGAAAAGGTCCAAGTAGAGGGAACAGTGTGAGCAAATGGCTAAAGGAAAGAGAAAGCAAGGCACATGGAAGGAACTGCAAAATATTCAGTAGATACGGGCACTGAGAGCAAGGCAGCAGTAATAAGATAAGAGAACAAATGAAAGGATTTCAGGAGCTAGATAAAAAAGATCTTACATGACAATTTAAGGAATGCAGAACTTATCCTAAGGGCAATGAAAAGTCACTAGCAGTTCCAATCACAAAAGCAATAATGACCAGACAAGGGTTTTAGTAAAATTATGCTGGCTGAAAATAGACCATTCAACAGAGAGGATCAATAAGAAGTCTTGCTTGGATCCATGAGAGAGAGGAAGACAGGATTAGGAAAATGGAAATGGGAGTGAAGTCTCAAGATCTATTTAAGAAATAAAATTAATAGGCAGGATAAACTTGATACGGACTGACAGAGGGTGGAACTCAAAGGTGACCACTCCATCCACCCTCGTGCTTTGTCTTAGGCCACAAAGTGGATGATGGAACCATCCACTAAGATAGAGAACTAAGGCAAAGAAACAGGTTTAAGTGCATAGATGGGAAACACTGCTTTTAACAAGCTCACTGCAACTATGAGTCATCTAAGTGAATCAAGCTAATGGACAATTAGCTATAGGGGTCTGAGATGAGGAGAGAGATGAGCACGGAGATGCATCAGCACACAGACCACAGCTGAGTTTATGGAAGTGAATGCAGTGTGAACGTGCAGAGCAAAACCAGAAGACATTTAAGGAACTTCAGCATCTAAGGAAAAAACGAGCAGACACTGTAAAGGAGGCTGAAAGAACCACCTCTTCCCAAACAGAAAGTCCATTTGATATCCCTATAAAAAGCAGAGACATTACTTTGACAACAAAGGTCCATCTAGCCAAAGCTATGGTTTTTCCATTAGTCACGTATGGATGTGAGAGTTGGACTATAAAGAAAGCTGAATGCCGAAGAACTGATGCTTTTGAACTGTGCTGTGGTGTTGAGAAGACTCTTGAGAAGACTCCTTGGACAGCAAGGAGATCAAACCAGTCAACCCTAAACGAAATCAGTCCTGAATATTCATTGGAAGGACTGATGCTGAAGCTGAAACTCCAATTCTTTGGCCACCTGATGCAAAGAGCTGACTCATTAGAAGACACTCTGATGCTAGGCAAGATTGAAGGCAGGAGGAGAAGGGGACCACAGAGGATGAGATGGTTGGATGGCATCACCGACTCAATGGACATGAGTTTAAGTAAGCTCCATGAGTTGGTGATGGACAGGGAGGCCTGGCATGCTGCAGTCCATGGGGTCGCAAAGAGGCGGACACAACTGAGCAACTGGACTGAACTGATAAAAGTTCCTGGGTTAGATCTGGGAGACCCACCAAGAAAGTTCTCCTGACCACCTTAAACTTGTATCTTTGCTAAGCTTTCTAACACCTGAGAGCCGCCGCCACCTACCCTCTTCCCTACCTTCCCCAATGGACTCACACACTTCCACTTTCACGAAGTTCATAAGCACTTTAATCTTCAAAACCAAAAGGCAGTCTGTTAAGAAAGTCTATTTATATATTATATGGCAAAAGCTAAATATTTAATATTTAAAAGGAAGGGAGATACTTCTCCATGGTGGTAGCTTCAGAAAGCAGAGACGGCTTCTTCCAGAAGCCCCTCAGGTTTGCTCCAGTCATCCACCAGTCCAAGGGATCATGATATTCCCCAAGGGGAAGACAGCCAGGATCTCACAGGGGTGGAGAGAGAAGATAAGGAACAAAATGCCAAGTTGACGGAAACTCTCCAGCTCCAACTTGCAGGCGGCTGCTTCAGGACAGGAATTAGAAGCGTATCACCTTTCAGAAAGACAGCAGAGGAATGACTCAGAGCGCTGGTGCTTGCACCCTGACGTTCATGTTGTTCACGCTGATTTATTCTTTCAGAAAACTCTACAGTAGATTTTTAAAAGCGAGCACCATTGGGAAAAAACAGTCCTGTCAAAGATGAACTTTTCACACCAGCGTGAGCCCCATCAGATTCAGAATATGGATTTTATTTCCTGTTCTTCAGAGAGGGTGATGAGGACCTGCAAATATGGAGAGGCTTCCCAGGACTCCTGCAGTTACTCAGCATGGGGTCCTGCTGAAGCAGCGTCCTGGACTCCAGAGCCGTTGTTATTTCCCTCAGACAGTGTGTGGGGTCTCTCCTCACCTGGTCGGCAGAGTGCAGGGCTTTAGGAATGCCCGCTTAGCCATCTCTGTATTGCTGCCCACTGCAGTAAGCACTCACCTCTGCCAACTCATGTGTCCCACCTTCACAGTGACCTGTGAACCAAGCCATGCCAAGAGAA